TGCAAACAACCCAAATGTGTGCTGCAGGAACTCAGGCTGCAGATCTAACTAAATTAGCATCTTACTAGTTTTAGTTAACTGAACTAAATACATGTTTATGTTAATTACTTAATTATATGAAGATAGGTGGCAAGCTAGAAAGGAAGGAAAACATGACCAGAAATTAACATGCATATACGTAGTGCTTCGGGAGCTGGTTTTCAGGTATTATATTAAAAGTCAAGAACTCTCTGGCTGGTAATGGCAGAAAAACACCAATTCCTCAGCATTTCCTTTTTGTGAGAGAGCACAACATCTCTGGCACTGACTAGACCCAAGCTCTATAAAATGCAGTTTCGCTGGCAGGGAGTCATGTTCTCACATGTCCACAGCTGGCACAAGATGAAGGAAAAAGGATTCTAGTAGAGAGGGGAAGGAAAGGAACTTAACTCAACAGAGAAAATAATTAAAAGTTTCAAAATTGCTCTATGAAGAGTAAGCCCTCAATTAGAGATGGAATATATAAACCGCTTCACTGAAAAGGCCAAGTTTCATCAAAGGAACCAAGAATTCAAGGCTGAGAAACAGAATCAAACATGGTAGAGCTAAGAATGTGAAAGGTCCCGGATGAATAGCCAAAAAATTCACAAAGAGGCCACAGGAAAATCATTATGCCTGAACTGTGGCATCTAAAATGTGATTACATTACAAGATAATACGTTACTGCAGGATGAAAGTCTGGAGTCCTTGGTGCGCTGAGCTTGGTTGTTTGCTTGCAGAAATTTCATTACTAGACAAGATAACATCATCAGCTAGGTAACCACCAAGCTCAGAGAGCACCAAGGACTCCACAAAATGTGGTAATTATGTTGGCCTAATTTACAGGGCTGTTGTAATACAGGTAGTCCTTGACGTACAGCCACAATTGAGACCAGAATTTCTATTAGCTAAGCAAGTTGATTATTAATTGAGTTGTGCCCAATTTTGTGCCTTTTACCACATTTGATAAGGAAATCACTTACCAAAGTGAAGTTAAGTGAATCACATGCTCATTGAGTGAATCCACCCTCTCTCATTGACTTTGCTTGTCAGAAGCCAACTGGGAAGATTGCAAATGGTGTTCACATGTCCCCGGGACACTGAAACTGTTGTAAATGCATGCTGGTTGCCAAGTGCCCAAAATTTGATAATGTGACTATGGGGATGCTGCAATGGTTAGAAGTGTGAGGACAAGTTATAAGACACATTTTTGTGTTGTTATAACTTAGAACAGTGGTGGTGAACCTATGGCACGGGTGCCAGAGGCGGCACTCAGAGCCCTCTCTGTGGGCACACGCGTCTTGCCCCAGTCCTAGGCCTTCAGCTGGGTTTTATAAAACCTTTTTGCTCTAGGCCTCCGCCGCCATGTGCAAAAAAAAAAAGAAAAAAGGTTCAATCAGTCAATTTCAACTTCTCGCGAGGAAAAAAAGTTCTTGCAAAGTTGCAATTGATTGATTGAACTTTTTAGTCCCACCCAGTCTGCCATTACCATTGCAGCCCCGCCCACCCAATTGGCCACATCCAGCCAATGGGCCACACTCACCTGGCACTCGACGATGCATAAGTGGGTTTTGGTTTGCAGTTTGGGCACTCAATCTCTAAAAGGTTCGCCATCACTGACGTAGAACATTCACTAAAAGAATGGATGTACATCGAGGACTACTTATACTTAAATTGTATTTTATAGAAACTAAGCATATTTTGCAAAAACTAAGTAATATTATTAGAATTTATTTCACTACCTAGTTTCCATATTGGTAACATCCTTAACTCCAGCAATTAGTTTGACTCTTTTTTTGGGCCTCATATCAATACTTCCTGTTTAAACAATTGCAAATTAACCATGTTTTCATTTCAAAATAAACCTGATTTTCCTTCTGCAATCCTGTTATTCTGTTTGACATAACAAATGGATTTTTTTTTCTCTCTACGGCCTCTAAATTTTACTTTCTCATTCCATTTTTTTTTAATTTTTTAAGGAATGCACCCACCTCCAAATTCCCCAAAAACGAATTTAGTGGACACATTATATCTGCAATGTTGTAGTGAATATTCCATATTCACAAAATTTTCTATATAGCATTTAATTACAACAAAACATATTTCTGTGCAAATTTTTTCTTTACTGGGAAAGAAAGCTTAAGTTATATTATTCCTTATTAAACCAAGCAACTGACATTGCAACTTCCCATTACCAATGAGAAGTAATTTTTGAAACATCAACTTCTACAAGTATATTGAACATAAATGTTGTGATGAGTAAAGAAAAATATGCACAGAAATATGTTTTGTTGTAATTAAATGCCATATAGAAAATATTGTGAATATGGAATATTCACTACAATATGGCAGAAGGGATTTTGGAAGCACCCAATTAACTTGCATGATTTTTATGTGCACATGACAAAGAGTGTTTATAAGATAGTTTACCCATCCCCAAAAGTCAAGAAGCTGAGTTAAGCATCTCTTCAAAGAACACCTGATATGACAGCCCAGGGCAACAAACAGTCTGAATAAGATTAACTTGATTTGGTTTCTCTTGTCACAATTACCTATAGTCTCACAGCTGAATAATACTATTAGCAAGACCTTGAGAAATACAATAAAGCACCTGGAGGAGGGTTACTATTCTCTTCAAAGAATGCTGTTTGAACAACTATAAGTCAATGCCAAAAAAGATTCAAAGGTGTTTTTCCAAACCTTGCTTACTTTCACTAGATTCATGTTAAACAAAGAATTATTCAACAACTTTTTTTAAAAAAAAAGTATTCCTCCCCCAGCCGAGATATAAAGTGCAATGTTAACATTACAGGCATTCTAAATGGCATAGATGCAATTTAATGACTAAGATTTTCCTTTTTGAACAGGGATTCAAAATTTTGGGGTATTAGATTTTAAGTTCTACATATAGCAGAAATGTAATATTAAAACTAAACTTTTTTATATTTATTTATTTTAATATTAGTCAACTATATGAGTACGTTTTATAGTTGAAGTTGTTTGCAGAATATGTTTATTAATAAGATAATTCTTATTTTACAATTTTTTAATTGTTTTACCTTTGAAGATTAAGGCAACACGTCAAATTTTGATTTGGCTTTAACTTTTTGTTGAAACAGAGAACTCAAAATGATTTTGATCCACTCAAAAACCCACTACCATTTCTAGGTGACTGTTAACCTAATTATCTATAGGCAAAACAATTAATAAAAGGCATTAGGATGACTACTGGCCCTGTATCCCAACATCTTTTCAACTGACAACTAGATGGCTGGGGTGTAGAAAAATTTAGCCACCTTCATCCCAATTTTGTTTCTAATTCACTCCTTTTCTCCCCAACACTCCAGAAGAGAAGGAAATAGTAATAATAATGATGGTGGTGCCTAGCATTTCCTATTTTGGCAGGCCCCTTTTAGGCTCACATCTCTCTGTCCAAAGGCCAGAAGAGCATCTTAAGTTTGTTTGTATGATACAACCTAGCTGCTACATCCTAATTCAGGTAGGATATGTAACTACTGAGATAATTTTAAAAATTTGCCTATTCTTGAGACAAAATAACTAGGGTTCACACAGCATAATAACCCAATTAAACATAGCCTGCAAGTGCAGTTACACAGAGTAAATATATTATTGGGGGGGGGGGAAGGTGAAAATTATAAAACATTTAGATATTAAGCATTTTTATAGTTTACAGTGGTAAATGAAATTTCCTCATAGTGACTAGGTTCCCACATTGTGTTAAGCCATAATTTGCTGATCAATGACTTACTGATTAAACCACAATTGGTGGGCTCTCACATTGCACCAACACATATTGTTATTGCACTTTGTTTAATTTAGGATTATGTGAACCTAAACAATAGGTGTCTGGTAAATCTTATAACTGTTCCATGGTTCAACAAACTATGGCTTATCAGTATGTGAATCAGGCCTCTTCCTCAGAAGCATCACTGCTCGGAGAACCAGGTGATGAACAATCACTCATTTACGCTATTATTGTAACATAGCCTTTCTTTCTTTCTTTCTTTCTTTCTTTCTTTCTTTCTTTCTTTCTTTCTTTCTCTCTCTCTCTCTCTCTCTCTCTCTCTCTCTCTCTCTCTTTCCTTCCTTCCTCTCTCTCTCTCTCTCTCTCTTTCTTTTTCTCTTTCTTTCTCTTTTATTTGCCAACTATTTTATCTAGAGGCGACTCTGGGCAGCTTACAACATTAAAACCAGTAACCATTACAAGGATAAAACAATAAATAATGACAGTTTATCATTAAAAGATGGCAGAAGGAAGCACAAAGTACACGGGGACAGGTAGGGTCTTCTTTAATCCTATAGCCACATCCAGAGCGATATATTACTACAATATAAATAAATGTTTATTACTTCAAACGGTTATATTCGAAATGGTTACATCGGTCGTGTCTTCCAGTTTTCCCTTTACAGCACCATTTAGTCCCAAGCTCCGAAAGCGAGCAAGCACTTCCAGCGATACGCTTGCTCGTCCGGGTCCCTTAAAGCAGTGTTTCTCAACCTTGACCATTTTAAGGCATGTGGACTTCAACTCCCAGAATTCCACAGCCAGCAATGCTGGCTGTGGAATTCTGGGAGTTGAAGTCCACATGCCTTAAAATGGTCAAGGTTGAGAAACACTGCCTTAAAGGATCGTATCCCCCCACCTAGGACGGAGAGGAAAATACCGACCGGGGCAAGTCGCCCGAGGGCTGGCAAGCCGACAGCCCCAACCAGCCTTCCCAAGCGAGCAACGGCGAGGTCATCGTACTCTGCGCCGCGGGGGAAGCAGACTCCAGGCAGGCAGGCACATCATCCCAGGCAAGAAAGGCCCGAGGGAGCCCAGAATCTTCCCTCCTTCCCTCCCTCCCGGGAAGGCAACCCTCGCCCCACGGCGAGAACGGAGAAGCTACTTGCATCTCCATCCCCTCCTCCTCCTCCTCTTCCTCCTCCTCCTCTTCCCGCCGCGCCCGCTGGAGCCTCACCCAGATACTCGAGCCCCGGCTGAGAGAGGCGATCCGCGTTCAGCATCGTTGTCAACGCTCTCCCGCTCTCGGCCGCCGGGCCGTTTCTAGGACACCAGACGCCGCCGCGAGGAAAATGACTTCCGGCCAGAAACAAGAGCCGGCCGTCGGAATCCTTTGGAGGAAGGGGATCGAGGTTGCACCGGGAACTGTCCTTCTCTTCCAGACTCTTCCTCGGCTTTCCCCCTGGGACGGGTAGCCGGTTGCTCCTTCGTCAAATAATCTTTTAAGATTTGCTTCACTTTTGCATGCACTTTTATTTTCGCGGCCGAAGGTGCTTCGGTAGAGGAAGGCGTAGTTCAGCGCTTTCCTCGATGGACGTTGTTTTGTAACAACAATAATTCGCCCTCCCGTTGTGATTGGTAGTGGTTTTGTTCGCCAGAGGAAGATGCGCTCTCTCCTTAAAAATCCCAGCTCTGCAGTGTTTTAAGTTATAGTACTTCACAGCTGAAATTGTCGGTGCTCTGAATGCCTGAACCACAATCTAGCCAACCTCGTTCTATCTTATGTTTTGTGGACTCGACCCATGTAGCTAGTTCGTGGTTCAGTGTTTGTCCCCGAAGCCACTAATTGCAATCACATGACTGCAGAATGTAGCAATTGGCCATAAATGCAAGCTGACTACCAAGCGCCCAAATTGCAATCACATGAACATGAGGGTAGTGCAATGGTTGTAAGTGCAAGTACAGTTATAAATCACTTTTTGCAAGGCCATTTGCAACTTTGAACCATCAATTAAACAAATGGTCATAAGTCAAGGACTACTTGTATCTCATAGACACTAATGTTTCATTTCCAGCTAATATTGACACCAGAATGTCATGGCAATATCAATGTTCCCTCTTCAATGCATAATCCAAGATATAAACAGTATTATGCTCTTCCTGGGTTTTTTACATCTCAAAAAAAGCCCCAAGATACTAAAAAATAAATACTTAACCACCCTTTAACAAAGAATGGAATCAAGTTAATTGTTTAGAGGGTGAAATGAGATATGGGGAGATGCTTAAGATTAGCAACAGCTTAAGTTGATGGTCAGCAAGATGTATCAGGCATCACTGATTTTATATTGGCCAATCTTTATCTGAAAACTGTAGATACCCTATGAGGATCATACTTTGGGTAGGCAAGATCCTGTAAATTCAGAATGGAGGCCATAGTCCAGAAAACCTGTCAATTATTTTTATTGCCATAGAAGAACTATGGCATGTTAAACCACTGAGGAAAAGCTCAAAGATAGTATTTGGCACCTGGTTCTAATTGCTGGATCTCTGGATTCTGGTAAAATGCAAAGTAAATACCAGAAAACTGACATATTCTTCCCCTCTGCTGACCTTACTGAAAAATGTTGAATTTGTGTATTACTCAAAGGCATGCCTTGTTTCAGTTTATGACAGTTGGCTGGGTTTACACTAAGTTTACACCAAGCCAATTTTTTTTTTTAAAAAAAACAACCTACACATTATGTCTAGGCATAGAGTCTTCCAATCTAGACACTGTCCAGAAGTCGGATTTCAACTCCTGGAATTCTCAGAAGCCCATACATCCGGAGGGTATAGAGTTTTGGGAAAGGTAACTTAATGTGATATGCAAACCCAATTCTCCATTGTATAATCAAAAACTTTGTTTCTCTGTTTGTATTTTCAAGAGTGTTGTCCCAATCTGGCAACAATATAATTGTAGCAACTTCAGTCATCATATTAAGCAATAATGTGGCTGGTTGGCTTTGGCTTGGCATGTTGTATGTACCCAGGCCAATTAAGGCTTATCAAACAGATCATGGATTAAGTAATGCATGGGTTATTACATTTCATTTCATGCCTTGATTATTAACAACCTTTTGGAAATTGACCATAAGTAAGGTGAATTATATAATCATATTAGAGGGCTAGTGTGCTCCAAGTTCTATTTATTAAACATTTTCACTTGAGGAGATCCAGAAGCCATGCCTTCTCTATCATTGTGCCAACCTCGTGGAGAAGCATTACCCCAAGATTTGAATGCCTTCAACTCTGCTGGCCTTAAAAAAAACTCTGATACCGGTTTCCGGTATCTTAGAACTGACCTGGGATACCGCGTGAGCCTAACTTAAAGTAGGATTTGTGAGTTTTTGTCCCCAATACTGTAGTATGTTGGTGTTTTTCTTGTAATCATTCTTTATGTATGTACTTGTTTTTAAATCTGTTAGTAGCCCAGAATGAATTGTTGAGTAGCTAAGGAATCAGAACAGAAAAAATTAATCTGATTTATTGTTATGTTTTGTCAGTTTGCACAAGCAGAATATAAAATAGAAAACCATTTTAATGGTTTTTCTTTCCATTTTACTTCTTCAAACTCATTGCTTTTATTGGAAGCTAGACAATGCTAGTTCCATGACTGTAGGTGTCCTAACCTTTTTCTTGTTCCAAGGAAATGTCTGAAAAAATAGAAATGCTTTGGATCCCTCCAATCCTAGCTTCTGCTGGAAAATTCTTGAACATCTTTTTTTGGAACTTCCCTAATAACAATGTGTTCTGACTGAAGAGCACCAGGTATAGACCTACTTGTGAAGTTTTTGGGCCTTGTTTGTTATCTGCTTTATAATATACTTTTATGCAGTGCTTTTTTTCTGGAAAAAAAAAGGTGCTGGAACTCACACACGTCATACAACTCGCCTTGCCTACCCTATAAGGTTCTATCCAAAAAAGGTGCCGGAACTCTGTTCTGGGCGTTCTATGAGAAAAAAAGCCCTGCTTTTATGTAAGCTAGAATGTGGTTGTCCTGTTTACTGAATTGTATGAAGCAATTGAATTTATTTAGTAAACTATCATCAAATGAGTCACGGGCTGTGTGTTCTGCAAGCACAGCCTAAAACTGTACATTTTCCATACACAGGACCAATAGCTGCTAGAACAGAGTCAGTTTCTCTGCCAGATACAAGAAAGTGCAGGAATATATATGAAATAGAATAAGAATATATTTAAGTAATATGTGTATTTTAGATATTATAACCTTTGCGCAGTGAAATAAAGGAAATTTGGGTCGCCAGGAATTTAAATACTATGGATGTTAAAGGCACATTGGATTATTGTAATTAAAAATGAAAAAGTAGTTAAAACTTAAAAACAGGATATGGATATATATAAGCAAAAATATATTGATAAATGTTTTAATTGAGTTTGTCATGGTTAGAAATTTACCAATTTAAATATGATATATTGAATGTTAAGGGAAATAAAGAAGGAATTTTTGATAATACAACCTGAGATATGTACTAGAGACTTTGTTATTGAACTTTGACTGTCCAGTCGCCACGCTGCTTTTCAAGTACTGAAATGTAAAACTGTAAAACCAATAATTTGTTTTTTTTTTAAAAAAAGAAAGTGCAGGAATATAGATCAAGTATGGGGACATTTCCAGATTGTAGGCCAAGACCTATGAACTTCCAGAACTTCCACACACACATACACACACACACACACACACCTTATGCATATAAAAAGGAGCTGAGTTTCTATAATGCAAGACGTGCTTCCCATCTTGACTTTTTTTTTAAACCTTCCCTGTATATGCCCCTATTCCCAGGTCCAAATTCCATTTCGCTAGCCCACCATTTAATCTTCTCTCAACGCTGAGAGGTCTCTCAGCACTTTTCTGCTGCAGATTGGATATAAGTTGATGTTGTCCTCCCTGTTGTTAAGGGAGCTCACCTGGAGCTTGTCTCTCAATGCTGGAGCAGGTAGAGTCAATTCTTTTCCTCAGGTGCAGCAAGAGATTGTAAGCAATTTCCCTCCCTGCAAGCACATGAAAAAAGCAGTTCCTTTTTTCATGTGAACAAAAAGAGTAGGAAACTTTGCTTCCATCCTGTCCCTGAGGAGAAAAAGATGGTTGGAGGATGAATAGGGGTTTTTCTTCCGAAAGGCATCAGGCCCACTAAGGTGAAAGAAAAGACCAACTCCCGGTTACGTGACCTCCTTTCAGTTATTGCTGGATTATTAACACCTCTATATTGATTGAGCAAAGTAGGTCTGCATGAAACTACTTCAGTGAGACATGGAGGAGTGTGTATTTTCCACCCCAGAAAATATGATGCATGTAAAGAGAAATGATTTTGCCTCAAACACTGTCCAGTCTAACATTTGATATAGGAAAAATTTTAGGGAAGGGCAGTAGAAGCAGGGAAAACAGAGAAACAATGCCTAACATTTCTTATTCTGGTCCTTAAAATAGAATTAGAGTTGCTAGATACTGTTATCTGGCTGTGATTGTTTTTTGCCATGAAATGGGCTACTTAGTTATGCTTGCTATGCTAGATCAAGGTTGAATAATTTCATTTTTTATTTCACTCTGGATTTCCCCCCCCCCCCCCAAATTTATTTTTTACTTTTATGGCAGGTTTTTTTCTCTTCCTCTCTTCTAAGGCCAGCTAAAGGATAAAGTCTTCCTTTTGGAATCAAAGCCCATTTGTGGCTGTAATAATGATAAGTTTCAGCATTACTGGCGCCTGACTGTTAATGACTCAAAAGAGAACTGAATAAAAACAAGATGTTGTTTCTGGAGTCCTTCATACACTTTTCTCTGCTTATTGTCACTTCCCCAGTGGTCTGACAGAGCTGGACATCCTTACAAAATCCACTGCAAATATCACTGCTCTTATTCAAGTGAGATATTATCAGAGTTAATTTAATCTTCATTTGGTTGTTAGTTCTAGAGCTATGACTCTCAGTTATAAATCTAGATAGATAACCCAAATAATATTTGCTTTGCTTTTGTGAGCATATGTCCTGACAAATCAGGAAAAGGATGAATTACCTACATTGACATTTTATTTAATGAAACAAAGTCCATCAGTCCAAGGTAAGCAATGATTACAGCTGTGTGGTGCTTTAGATCTGATTCCAAAAAGGTGCTTTACATCTCTCCTGCATGCTCTGAAACTCTTTTTCAGATCAGAGTAAATGCATGAAATTCCTGTATTCATTGGCTTTTCTGCCTGCAGCTGGTGAATAATACACAGCTGCTGTCACAAAGAGGATGAGGGCTTTCTCACACCTTGATGCAAC